CTTTTGCTTTCATTAAATTTTCAAGACAGTTAAACGCACGTTCCCTCAAGTCATCCACAATTTTCATTGGGGAGTCTCCGCAGCCATGCGAACAGCCCATAACGCGAACCACGCTGAAAATTATATATATATATATATATATATATATAATTATATATATATATAATATGTTGGAAGGAGACTATATTTTACGTACATATTACATGTCATACAACACTGGTTAGGTTATATATATATATACTAGTGAGTCGACTTCAATCTACAATTACGTGAGTATATAAATGGTGAGAATTTCCGACCTGCTCCCGCTAAGTACGGTTGGCCAGTACGAGTACATAAAGTACACCATCACTCACGACGACCAAAGGTGCTTACAGTAATTCTCACTCACATAAATATAAACATTGTTTGATAAAAAATATAAATATATATTTTTTATTTATTTATTTATTTTTATTTATTAATTTAAAAAATGGCTTCGTAAGTTTTTTGGAAAGTTTTACAACTGACTGAAGAGTCCTCACCGAAACAAGACTTCAAGTGCCATGTAGTATTTAGACATACCATCTCCATCGGCAGAACCAACCGACTGTTTGGGATTAAGCGTGGATGGCGGTGCATGAAAACTGTCGGCAGGCTCATTCAATGACGTTTTATTTAATTTTTCTATTTTCCCTATTTCAAAGTTAATCATCGACTCCTGGAAGAATTTCAAATCAATGAAGCAGCCAATCATATCAACGATTGTGGTGCACACTCTGGAACTGTAATGTTGTGGAGCCAAATTGTAAATTGACAGCAGGATGACCTTGAAGAGAATATGGAATAACTCAATGTAGTATCAAATGAATCTCATTGTTCATAACATTACAATTTATTTAAAAAAAGTTAAATTTAAAAATAACAGTGTATTGATATAAGAAAAAGTTAGCGGTTTCTTCAACCTGCATTCGTAAATGATAGTATTGAAGAGCTTTCAGTGTAAAAACACCAAAAAATTTAAAAATAAAGCAAGAACAAATGTGTAAAAATGATGGCTCTCTAATCACCCCTGCCCCATATGCCCCATTTTTTCAACACTCCTAAAATATGTCCTAAAAACAGATAAGTCACCACTTACAAAAAAACCTGTAAACTTTAAAAAAAAATTTCAGCAACAACAAAATAAACTCTGTTTTTTAATAATTTTAGGCGATTGATATGAGAGCTTCTTTGTGAGACGTGATTTTAATGACTTCGACGCATGAGCAGACACTTGCAAACACTTACGGTCACGTACAAATTAACTATATTATCCAAATAATTTCGTCTGAACCTCAATATAAAAAGATTTTATATTATTAAAACGTTAATTAATTAAGGTTTCAAAGTAACATAGCGTTAATTTAAACGATAATTTTATTAATATTATTGTCATTATTAGCGACAGCAGTTATAATATTACCATCTATATTAGCAATAATAACAAGGCAAGGATAATAGCTTTTTAACATTTCTAGCAGTCGATGAAGAATTTTTTTATCATTTATACATAGCTTGAGTTTTTCTAATTTAGGAGGTTGAACTTTAAATACTGCTAACTACAAAAATATTAATGGTAACTGGCGAGTTAATATTTATTTACTTATGGACTGCAATGAGTCAACAGGGCATCGCTCCGATAACCTCGATGTTGTTGAGTGTCAAAAAATGACGCGAACAGAAAAAATCAGGAAAAAAATTCACCAGAGTTTTTATAAATTTAGTTTTCCTTTTTTATGACTGTATTTGTTCTGTAGTAAAAAAAAATCTGCTGAAATACACAAATTTTTTTTATTGTTGGTAAGATTCTTTTTCCCAACATAAAAAATGCGAGCATATATAAATTTCAATTAAAATGCGCTTATAAAGGATTTGCTCAGAGCGATATTTGTAGTCTCAATGCCACTGCTCGCAACACTTGCTTACGATTGCTCTGCGTAGTAGCTACGGGACTGCATATCTGAATTGTCAATAAATGCAAGCGTACATTAATATTAAGTTTAACATGTGACTGTCGTTATTTTAATCGTCTTAAGTGCAAACTCACGTACTTAACATCAAAATAAAATCAATCATCATTATTATATTATTATTATTTTATAAGTATTTATTTGTGTAACAAAAATATATAAAACCAATTTTAATACTTCAAGTTTGAGTCTGCCATCCGAATGAATGTAGAAAGTTGATCCTGACACTTCACTACTGTCTTCACAAGAAAAATAATTTATTTTAGAATCTGTAGCACTTCTTCGTAAATTTTCACGGTGCTTTGGTTGTTTATTACAAGCTCTTAAATCCTGGTGGTGACCCAACTCTTTAAATTTTATTGCAGATTCAGTTAGCTTTTTGAAAGATTTCGTTGAGGTAGGCTGCTTAGAAAACTCTGAATGGACAACTTTTGTCTGAACATCTGTGACAATAGGATCGTTGGATTCATATGGAGGTGATATGTTTGTACCTATTTCGTTGCTTATATGAATTTTTATCGACGAATTCGGCAATGTATTCTGAATTCCTCCTTTAAAAAAATTTAGTACGACGTTTTAAATCAAAATCCATCTGGTATTTGTAACTGCAATTTTATTTAAATCATAACTATGAAACTTGTAATTATTAATTATACTGTAAAAGTTGAACATTTCGTTATTTAACATTTACCGAACCACATTTTACCTTAATGACATTATAAAAATTGCAGTTGAAAAAATCAACAAATTAAAAGTGGTCTCGTATCTAGGTTTATTAGTACGGGGGACTCAACATTTTATCATGATAACAATTTGGGAGAATTCATACAATACTGTAAAAATATCGTCTACTTCCAATATTTACGCACATCTCTACGACCGACCCACGAAACCTGACAACCGAGCAAGAACGTGGGCAGTGTTATTGAAAATTTTTTCATAATTTTCAAGATCGGAAAAAATTGTTACAAAAAATGTTTACAAGACTTATAGCTAAACTTTTTAGTTTAAATTAAAAAATAAGTTAAAATATTATTTAAACTAAACTTTTATTTTTTAGTTAAACTTTTACCTTAACTAAATTTTTTTAGTTAAACTAAAAATTAAACTTTCATGGATAACTTTTACCATCACTACTGACGATAGTTAAGAGCAAAAAGATTATTAATCTTTTGATTAAATGTTTGGTGTAAAAAAATTTGAAACCAAAGTTTATATGGAGAAACAGAAATGTTAAGCGTTAGTAAACGTTTTAATTTGGATAAACTGAATGAAACTTTCATCCTGCGTAGCCACCCTAGTCAATTCAAAAATTAAAAACGCAATATTATAAATTTGGAGAAATAGTCGGTAATAATGAACTCAAACTAAATCAATAATAGTTTGTTTGTAGATATACATTATCTTTTCACGATTGGTTTTGTTCTCAAGCCTGTACTTTTATCATGTATGTTTTATTTTTTGTTTTATTAAATACTGGTAATATCTGCAAATTAATATTTTTTTAATTTGATTTTTCTTCAATTTTCATGCTTCATTTTTGGCCTTGTGATAAACTTGATATTTTTTCCTATTAATGCTTTTTATGCAGAGTTTAAAAAACACAATTTTGTTGCTTTGTAGAATCCGTTTAACAATATACAAAAAGATGTAGTAAATCAATCAACCAACCAACCAACCAATCAATCAATCAAACAACCAACCAACAAACCAACCTACCAATCAATCAATCAATAAACAAATCAATCAATCAATCAATCAATGTTTAAAGTTTAAAAACTATACGTAATAACAAAAATATATAGTAACATAAAGCTTTTACCTACTTATATTATCTGCACTCTAAACAAACGCAAGAGCTCAAAAACGCACATACTTGAAACTACTTTTTATGATATAACACGCACAATACAATGTATATATATATATATATGTGTGTGTGTGTGTGTGTGTGTATGTGTGTTTGTGTTTGTGTGTGTGTGTGTGTGTGTGTGTGTGTGGAATTAAAAACGAGGTTTTCATCGATGCAAACGTTTTTGAAAATCGCTGCCAATTCGTGGTTTTATGGTTTCATATAATTTAGTATTTATTATGTTGATTTATATTAAAAGCATGTGAACATTATATCAAGTCATTTTAATTCATATAATAAGACTATAAAAAAACCTAAACTTTCAACTAATTCCATTTGAAATTTGAAAATAATCACAATCATAACAAACCTGATTCTGTCACGACAGCTTGAGAAAACTTACATTTTTCATCATTCTCTTTAGAAAATGATTTGAGTCCTAATGTTAAATTATGCCTTCTATCCCCCACCACTTGATTGGCTATATGTGGAAAAGCGTAGCTTGCTATTAAAGCCTCTACTGTAGCAGAATCTTTTCTGCAAGTAGACGAAACCGCTGCCGTAGAAACACTGTCTGAAGAACCACCAAAACCGAAATCGAAAAATGATACCAGATTGGGCAACGAAAGACTTTGCTTTTTGATTTTTTTCACTTTGTTCATTTCATATTTTATTGTATAAAGGCGTCTCAACAAATAATTAAGAGACCAGTTTACACCTTCTTCTTCCCATTGTGGGCAAAACAAGCATTGAAGCACTGCTACATCAAAATATGTAGCACTCAATACATTGATATCACATTCCACTTTCTTATTTTTCATTACATCATTTAAATCAGTAACCAGGGAATGTTCTAAGTTCAAGCCTAACAATGATGTTTTTTCAATGTTAATTTTACTAGAAATTACTTTTGCCAGGGAAAGTGTCATAGATTCTTCCATTGAACTTCTGTTAGAAAGGGTACAAATATCATTCATCTGAACTATTGGTGCACTTTTTAACGAAGTTTCTTCCAAAATCAACTTGGAATTGTTTGATATATCTATTGGTTTGTCAAAAATATTCTCACAGGAAGTTCCACTGCCTAAATAAATATTTGCCATATTGAAATTCACTTTTGCTGCTTCGTGTGAAAATTTGCTGGGTACTATTTTAGATTTGACTGGTGTGGAAAAACAATAAACATTGGGTTGCTGATAATGCCACAATGGTTCCCATAATCTCAAACCATTTTCCAATTTCAAATTGTCAAAATCAGACCTTGTAAGAGAACTGACCAAAGGAATAAGCAAAAACACAAATAGTTGAATTGTATCAAGTGAATGTAAATATGAACATTTTACTGTTTTAAATGACTTTTTAGGTTCATTATCTTCACATTCACCAGCAGCATCTAATATTATCCAATGCAGGGTATACAGAAGTTTTATATCACTGGTTGAAAATTTTGCCTCTGGATTAGTTTCCAATCTTTTGAGTAATATGGAAGCACAACAATGAATGACATGAGGGAATGATGCACACACAAATTTCCATCTAGAAATGCTTTGAATTGCTTCACATAAGCTAGGTGAGAGTCCATGAAGAATATTTTGAACAATAACTCTTTCAAAAGACTATAAATGTAAAAATTGAAAAATTTTAGTAATTAAATGCAATTTTATTTTATCATAAATTTATTTTGATAGATAATTTAATTTTTTATCTAATTTGTTATGAATTTATTCATCATCCTTTATATTTCATTTATTTATACTTTATAGATTATTTTTAAAACAAATACATACCAACGCTGAAGATTCACAGAGTTTAGCTAGTTTTTGTCTAATAAAAGGACTGTAAAATCAAAAAATAATTCAGTAAATAATGAAATATTATGAAAGAAAAAATTAAAACCTGGTCTGTCTCCACAGAAAAGTTTGGATAGGAATGGGAATAGAATTTTCATCTTCTGAATCGACTGAATCTTTTGACTTCTTCACCATCATTTATTTTTAATTTTATCTATTCTATTTTATTTACCATTCATAATTTCATGAGCTGCAGAACAGATATGTTCAACTCAACTTGAAAAAGCAAATAGAAATTAGGCTTTTACAAGAGCATGCAACAAGAAACTGCACGCCAAGCACCAACTTTCTATCGTTAACAGTATTATAATAATGAATAAAAGCGCTTCTGAATGAATACAACACACAAAACTTACACGCTTGAATCTTGGTGGTGAAAAATCAATATGCAGTACGTTGCGCCTTACCGTTAGCATAATTTATATTTGCGGCATGCTTCGTTCACTGAACGCAACATTCGAGTGTGTCTGCATTTGTTAAGTTGTGAAACAGTTGTTTAAAAAGAAATTGTAAATGAAAAAATAAAAATCTGGATGCATAATTTTTAATAAACGAGAGAAGAAATTAACACAAAAAGCACGTTTTCCAAGAAAGAATTAATAAGTCAATAATTTGCAATTAAAGAGAAATAAAATAAATGATAAAAGAAAATAACAATTAATCAGTTTTTTTGAGCTTTGAATATATTAAACTTTCATGATAGAACTTTAAAATCTACCTGAAATTTTCCTCTTCATCCTCTCGTACTCCCACCACAGTATGCGCAGACGCGTAGTTATTTGGTTATTTCGCATTTGTACGCAACCAATATTGAAATAGTAATCTAATTTCAAAATTTTATAAAAAAAATATAGAAAAGCTATTTTTTTTAAAAACACACTTTAGAAACAAACGAGTACTACATGAAAATATAGCAGTTAACACGGCAAGTGCAATAATACTGATAATATTATTATCTTCACTGATATAAAATAATAATAAATATATAAAATGACACGAAACAACAAAGTTGCAACCTACGTTCACTGGATAATAAGCTAACATGTTGGCCTAGAGGGACCTGCAGAGCATTATAGAGATGAACTGAACAGTGCGTAGGCAAGTAAGGGCTTTGGAGCTAAAGCACAATAAAGCGTTGTGTTAGGGTTAAGGCAAAATTAAACAGAATCTTTATACAAATTTGTAACAATTTGAGTGTAAAAATATTTCAGTCCCCTAATAACAATAAAATTAAGTTCAATTTTGTTCAAAACCATTGGTTTAATAGCAAATATTGGTTAAAAATCGTTTGGTAAACAAAACAAAGTTGCAAACTTTTTAAAAAAAACTTAAGCCCCTTACAACAATTTTTTGACTACGTTATTGAACCCAAAAGCAAACAAGCTGGATAATAATCTGGAAAAGGACAGGAAAAATTTGTCTAATGCTAGATATATCTATACCTGATGACCTGAATAAAGTGCAAAAAGAGTGAGAAAATATTTTTAAATTGTATAATATATGAAGATTTAAAAAATCTCGTACTTATTCGTTGCTGCATGCGATCGAGAACGCCCTTTATAACTCTAGAAATTTCATCTTCCGCTGAAAGGCCAACGTCGTTAGCCTGTTATCTGGGCAATTTTCGGCTTTTTACCAATTCGGAAAACCAATGAAGTTTTTCATCAGTAAGTTTTTTGGCAGTCAATTAATTTATCATCAATAGTGTTTATCACTCAGACATGGTCTCCTCATAAATACCAAAAAACAATCTCAAATCTCTTCTCCAAATCTGCATCACCGATACACCTTTTCACACCAACACAGGCAAGCTATACAAGCAAATTGACGGTGTCCTGTTCGCAAATTTCTTTTCAGGACATTTTGAGAGCAAAACGTTTAGAGAGAATCCGGAATTAAAAACAAACATTTGTGTCTGGTGTGTTGACGATATCTTCGTCGCATACGATGATCCGGAACAAGTCAACCAGCTACTAGCAAACCTGAACCAATCAAAATTAAATTTCACCACCGAACACGAAAGTGAAAAATCATTGCAATTTCTGGATGTTTTGGTAACACATGGCGAACATGACGAACAAAAATTTACAACTGCCGTATACGTCAAAGCAACAAATAAAGGTATTTGTTTAAATGGCTTAAGTGTACGGAACAATTCAAAGTAACTATAATAAAATCCTTTGTGAACCGTGCATTCACGCATTCATCCTCAAGTGAAGATCGCAGTAGGAAACTGAAAACTATATGTATGGGAATAAATAATCAAAATATACCACAAGGAATGATAGAAAGACGTTTCGTTGCAAGCTTCATTTAGTTTTGTCTTCATGCATTTTTAGTTTTTGTACGCAAAATAAAGATTTTTAATTTTTGCGAAATGATGTTTTATTTGGGAACGCGTTGCAAATATAAATATTTTTTATACAAAATAACATTTTATTCACTGTTTTACAATTTTTTGTGTTCCTGGACGATGATCTTCGACACAATGATGGAACCTTGCATTCGATTTGTTACAAAATTTGTGAAAATCTTGGGATTGGTAGAGCTTGTCTTGCTTGTCTTGTAAATAAAATATAGTTTTACTTAGAACTTAGGTGAAGTTTTACAATACGCTGGGGAATATATTCTAACCTAACCCTCCATTTTGTTTAGTTTTATTATGAATTTTAACAACAGAAGACAAGAGTTTATAAAATCTTTTTCTAAACTTTGAAATTGTCTGTTAAAATATCAACATGAAAATTTTGACATAGATCTACACAATCATACACAGCACGAAAATTTTAATTGAAGTTTTAAAACATTTCATCTTTTTTAATGAAATTTAATACTAAATGAGTGTGTCACAAATAAGTTTAAATTACTTAATTAATAAAAGGTGGATACCTAAAAATTTAATAAAATGAACCTCAGTTGCAGTTAGATTTATTTGAATGATTGTTTAGTCCAGATAAAACAAACTATTGGTTGAATATGTTTACAATTTTTTTAGTGGTCAGATTATGACATTATGTTTTTATCACATTCTTTTAATTTATTTTCTATTAATTCTCTATGATGATGTACTGAAAACAATTTTTTTAATTTCAAAATTGTTTGCATTTTACGTTAAATACTGCAAAAGTCATCGTTTCAGTTTGTGCACTAGACATAGAAATACTTTTCAAATTTCTCTAATTAGTGCTCATACAGTAAGTAGACATTTTGGACATGTTAACTGGCTGCATGGCTGCATTCTATGTGTCTGCTTTAATTTTAATAAACAAATGTTTTTGTTTATAATGAAATAAAAGGATGGCATGTTCCTTGGTTTATATTTTGTCATGTATCAATGAATTATTCAACATTTAAGTATCAAAACTGTCACCTGTAAGGTAGACCATAAAAGTATTTTACAGTGGACTGCCTATGAAAAAAAAGAGATGGGAGGAGCCCTATTTAAATGCTGATTTTAAGGGAACAAAATAGGTTTGGATTGCCCTGACTTTATCAATTCATTTAACATCATTTTTTGGCATTGTAAAATATTTTGTTGTTGTTAAAAGTTGTCTCCTTTTCATATTTTAAGTGATGATTTTGACGAGTTAGGGCGAGGGTTAGTGCTCTCTAGCGTATGATAAACTTTGCCACAGTTTTATATTTAACTTTGAATTTAAAAAGTTATTAAATTTAATTAACATTTGAATCTTGTTTTTACAGATTTTTTTGTCACTTTTTGTTGTCTTGACTACGTCTGTGGTTGTCATATTTTACTCCTGTTTACTACCAATTAAAATTGAAGAAAGCATTTATTGGACTATTTATCATTTGGTGTTTGGTCACTGGCTTCTGTTAAATATTGTATTCAATTATTTCAAAGGCTCGTTTACATGTCCTGGATATACTGTGATGGTATTGTGTTACAATGTTTTACTTTGTTTAAATACTTCACGAATGCGCTATGCTGTTTTTGCTAAATGTTTTGACAAATTTTTTATGCTTGCCCAATCACTGTCAGTTGACTGTTAAAATAAGATAAGAATTATAGAAGCATTTTGAAAAATGAAATATATATTCAGCTAATTTAGCTAGTGAGTGATATTTGAAAAGAGATTCGAAAGACTGACTAATGATGAATGATAGACATTGTGAGCAAACACGACGCATCAGACACGAAAGTATAATGAAAATGAATTAAAATATTAAGCAATTTGTTATTATCAAAAATACTATTAACTCTTTTTTATTTTACTGAACAGTTTTTTTATTTTTTCATCCACGTTTAAAATGTTGATTGGATAAATTAAAACATTGTTTTTTGCTTTAAGTTATACTCCTGAGCAAATATATTGCAAGTTTAAAATTTTTTGAAAGTTTCAAGTTAACTTGGCATGACAGCTGTAATCTGTCACTGTCTGTGATTATATTACGTTATATTGGTAAATTATTATATTTACCTTAAAAATATCTGACTACATTTTTACTTGATATATTTTTGGTGCAAGAGGTTCAAGATTGCCTAATTGCGTTCATTTTATTATACGGTACATTATAGGCATAAGTCAATAAATATATTTTAGTCGGTGTTTCGTTGACCAATCGTGGCATGGATTTGATCACTTCTTGACAAAAGTAGACCAAGTCTTCATAATACCAAACCTGAGTCACCATGATATCGAATCTGCCATCGCTTCTTCCAGTTGGCGTTTTTAATAACATGACATTAGTTAGAAACAATTGCTTGATAAACTTACTATACATGATTTATAAGGAATTGATGTTGAGTACGGCGGAAAAAAATTTTTTTTTAAATTTGTAATATTTTTGCACAGGATTATTAAGTTGTCACATGATTAAAATGTCGCACAATTAAGTTGACATATGATTAGGTATTCGATGTTTAAGTTATCATAACATGAGAAGGTAATGAACGCGAAAAATTATATGCCTATCTCAATGGTAAACAACAAATATATGATTAAGTTGTTATATGATCGTCATTAAGTTAAGTGATTAAGTTGTCATACGATATAAATAGTTTACTGGTTATGGCTAATTTTTTAGAATTCTCTAAACTGCAGTTATGTCTCTTAGCTGATGATTTAAAAAACTAGTTTATATAGTATATGTTGGTAATAGACCATAATTTTTACAATATTCTATAAATTCTACCGAATATTTGGCGTTAATATGTTTGTAGTTCGTTTTTTCAATTTTTCTCACTAAAGTTTTTTGGTGAACGTTTAGTTTATTAAAATTCGGAAAATAAGTTTATTTTGAACTAAAGAAACGAACTACAAACATATTAACGCCAAACATTCAGTAGAATTTATAGAATATTGTAAAATATATATATACATATTTATATATATAATTAAGTATGTCAGAAATGCAATTATTGATGAAAACCACGGCATGTTTGGCGTTAGTTAACTTCCAATTTAACTTTTCGATTTTTCCAACGATTGATCGTAAATCATTTTCAAGTTTCTTTAGTTCAAAACCAAAATTTTTGCATGATAGAACAGAAAAGCTTTTTTCGGTATTCCTATGCCATATTCGGTGTTCAAATTGATATGTTGTGTTTGTGCCCAAATGCTCAAATATTTATATATACATTGTGCCTCTACTCTACTTTGTTGATTCCTTGTTTATTTAAAGTGAATACTTAGTTTTACAATCTTCGACTTTGTTGAATATAACACTTTTACATGTTTTCATTATTGATGATTCTTCTGTTTCTAAATTTATTGGTAGAAAGAATTCCAATTTCCCGTTGTTGAATATTTATTATCGAATGTCTTTGTTCAGATTCGACTAGTCGTAAATTATAATGGTTGTTATTGTAATATAAGATTTCAACATTGTGGTCCAAGATTTGTTTAGTAATTTTAGTTTTTTGTTTCTCTTTCATGTGATTTTTTATAGCGTCAGTTCGAACGGCATCGTGAGTCTTCTCGATAACTTGGTCGTCGTCATACCAATATATTCAGAATTATGGTGTCACACCCACCAATATTACATTTGAACGATTATATTAGATGGCTATGATCCATTATCGATTCTGGCTTACTAGTGCAATTGTTTTTCATCACGAGAGATGACGTTCTTGGGTTATTTTTTATGGTTCTTTTCATGATTTTTTCATCCTGTTCTAAAGCGGTTCATAAAAAATAAAGCTTTTCTGTTTTATCTTGCATAAAATAAACACAAATTTTGATTTTGAACTAAAGAAACTTGAAAATGATTTACGATCAACCGTTAAAAAATCGAAAAGTTAAATTTGAAGCTGTCTGTGTGTGCGTGTACGTGCGTGCGTGCGTGTGTGTGTGTGTAAAATTGAAACGCATCATTAATATCTAGTGTTTCAACAACAAATCAAAATGTTGTTTCATTGCAGAAAAATGATGAAACGATAACAATATGTAAAAAATGTATGATGCCAAAGCCCTTACGAGCACATCATTGTAGAGTCTGTAACAGATGCGTTCTCAAAATGGATCATCACTGTCGTATCCTTTTGCAATTTGTGGTTAAATTTAAATATATTATTAAATTTATCATAGTATGCTCTTTAACTCATTTCCTATGAAGCTTGGCTGAATAATTGTGTGGGCTTCTACAATCATCGTTACTTTTTTATGTTTTGTGTCTACATGTTATTGGGCTGTGTTTATGTGTCTGTTGTTGCATATCCCATGTTTAAAAGGCATGTCTATGGAAATAAGGTGAATTTTTTTTATTATCTGTATTCGTTAGTAATATCTGTAGCTGTAGCGTTTTTCAGGGTTGTTGATGGTACGTCGGAAAAGTAGCGGCGATACCCGGAGCAATATCGTGCTCGAAATCAATATGCAAAAAATGTTTGGTGCCAAAGCCTAGTTTTTAGCAGCTCCGTCTTTAAAATAGATTATCACCAATGCTGATACAAATTTGTGAGTGTCGGCGTCAAGTCAAGAGTGTAGGGCAAAATCGTACTTTTTAAACTCAATCAGAATCACATTCGCGTACAGGAGTCACGTGGTTATGCATACAAACCCCCGTACCTATATAAGGTATTTTGTATGTATATATATATATATACATACAAAATATATATATATATATATTGTATATACATACATATATACATGTTGGTAATAGACCATAATTTTTACAATATTCTATAAATTCTACCGAATGTTTGGCGTTAATAGTTAACTGCAGTGTCAAGAATGAACTAAACTTATGCCGGAAAGAATTTATAAATGCATATATACAATCATCAAAACTAAAACTTCATAAAAAAAACGAACTACAAACATATTAACGCTAAACATTCGGTAGAATTTATAGAATATTGTAAAAATACATATATACATATATGTATTTATGTTGAAAGGCGATTATTTTTATACAGCATTGTGTGAATTCTACTGAATTTTTGGCATTGATCAATTAAAAGTTTGTCTTTTCAATTTCCCTTACTAGAATTTTTTGGAAATTGTTCAGAAAATAAAAAAAAGTCATTAATCCTGAATTAAGCACAAAACTGTCTATTTGATGAAAACAGAAAAGTATTCAATTATTTCTTGACTTCTCAGCGACATCGGAAGACTGTTCCGGACAATAGGACCTGCAACAGCAATATCGCGCATTCCAATCTGTAACTTAGTTTTAGGTTCGACTAACAGGTTATGCTGATCGATCTTAAGCCGGTACCCAGTGCAACTGTCTTACAAATCAACTTGTTTGATAAATGCTCAGGTGCCAAACCATGCAATGAACGAAACACTAGTACACCAATTTTATTGATTTTTAACCAGCGAAGTTCGTTCAAAAGCGGAGTCACGTGGTCAAATTTCAAACTGCCAGGCAACTTAAAGAACATGCTGTTACAGCAATCGAGACGCCATGTTATATAAGCACTAACCAGCGTTTCTAATGCATTTCTATTCAAATAATTTCAAATTTCATATAATTTTTTGCTGAATCATACTTTTGATTGGTAGCATTTCAATATGTTGCTTTATTGTGAGCCTGTTATCGAACCAGACGCTGTTGAAGTAAAAGTTTAATCAACTTCACCAACCCTTATTGGACTGATGTTAAACTTTGACAGCTGTTGCCTGGTCCCCATTGGGAGCAATTAAGTTTTAGAATGATTTAACCCCAGAGAGTTACCCGATAAATATATATTTTTTGAATCTTTAAACTGTTCAAACAATTTGGGACAAAAATTCTATTAAAGTTGTTATTATTAATTATTGTAATTCGTTAAAAATTATATTTTTATTCATTTTATTGTTAATTTTGAAAAAAATTTATCCATTTAGAAAGTTGGATGGCTTGGAATTTTTTACTTTCTTTATATTCTCAAAGAGTTTTTTTGGCCTGATGATACTGAGGTTTGTAGCGGCTTGAATGCGGTTTTGTTCATTACCGTATATAGTTGTAGATAGTTTTTGTTGGTTTTGCTGGGACTACCTTTCTCCTCATCTGTTTGGCATTTTGGAATTGAATTAAATATAACTATATATATATATAACTTTTGAAATGACTAAATATAAATTTTGGGTAAAATCTTTATTTTAAGCATTATGATGGTAATAGTTGATAAAATTCGAAAAAAAACTATCATTTTTAACTATTGTTCATATGTTAAGAATACAACAAACGAATAATGTTTTTATTGCTCATGTGATATTCATTCTTGAAACTTTCATATGTGAAAAAAATTAAGGAAAAATTAAAGAAAATTTAATTAATTTTGTTACAATTTTGCTGCTAAACAGTTAACGCTGAGCGTACTGAATGCCGCAATGTAACACATCACTTCAAAAAGATGAGGCTTGTTATCCATAACATGTTATCAAATATGTTGGCATGTCATTAAGCGCGATTCTCTTCTCTAGCACAAGTGCATACAGTTTTCTTTATGAAGAATAATATATTGTAAAAATAAGATAACCATAAAAACGTATTTTATCATAAAATAGTCTCAACAAAATATTAATTTTATCAACAGTACAACATTTATTGGTCTCAACAGCTTCAACCTGGACGTAGCTACCTTTCATATCACAACATCATAATGTTTGAGTTTTTGTTATGTAGCACTGCATGCCTTGCGTTATTGGGAATGGTCATATGGCACGCAAGGCTTATTAGTTGTGGAGAAACAAGTATAGAATCGCATATAAACCGAACTGAAAGAAAGAAGCTGGAAGCATGTGGAAAGGTTTTTACAAAAGTTTCATTTTGATATTTTGGCCGAATCGAATTTTTACTCAATTCAATTTTATACAGTTCACCTTAAGAAATAAGAACTCTTATAAAATTTAGTTGACTTTTTTGCTGCCATCCAGCGTTCTATGGCTATTGAAAACCTCTATGCAAAGTTCACTATAGTTGATGCGGCTGGAAAATGGAAAAGCGAAAATTAAATACTTAATTATTTGTTGACAAATTTTTTTCATATTTATATGTATTATATCTTTTACTGAATAACGGTCGTGAAAATTTCAAAATCAAATATAGTATCATTGTAAGATTTTATATTTTACATATATTTAAAAAAATTTATATAAGAATTTTTAAAATGTCTAAACCGTTTAAATGTGGAAATTCAACTAAACTAGTAGTTTATACAGAAAATATTATTGATTCTTATTTATTCAACTGAAATGAAAACATATGATTGGTCTTTTTATTGTTGTGAGCTGTATTTTTAATAAAGAGTCAGTAATTGTTTTATGTCGAAAATCTACAAAAATAGACGTGATAAGCAAAAAACGGTTTAAACATTTTCAAAATTTTGCCCACCCCATCAAAGTTTTTAGATCAGTCACTGAGTGGAATAGAATAAGGAAATGTGTATTTAATCACAAATCTGACATCAGTAGAATGACAATAAAATTAATAATAATAATTATTATTATAAATTGATTATTATCAATCTAAGCTTAAGTGTTTGGACAAAAAAATGCCTGGGGCTTTCGCTGACATGCAATTTAATAGGGGTATTAGGTGAAGATTCTGGGTTGAGCGATATATGGCGAACATGTTTATTCGTGCCGATTTCGAATAATTTTCTCTTTTGGTGGAAGAACTTTAATTTTCTAGTTTTTTTGTATTTTTTCTATAATCATTTAAAAGTTTAAGTTACATTAAATTGTTGAATTTTGCTTCGTTACAACTCGACGGAAGGTGCCGGTGGGCCAGTCAAGCTGGCGCCACACAAGAAGAAGAAGACGAGGGCTCTTTCACCGTCAACCATGATACCACTTCAGTCAGACGGACCAATGGTTTTCGTCATGGAACCACTATCCCCTGATAACAGCCACAAACATACATGGGAAGCATCATGCCAAAATGAGCCAAAATGTTATCACTGTGGACATAAACATGAAACTTTCTCTAAAGAGTGTTCAAAATTTAAATTGGAAAAAGAAATACTCAAAAGAAAAACAGAAAATAATGTATCATATAACCAAGCAAAAAGTCAGATATGTCAACAACAGAAACCCCTGTTATCTCAAATAACAAAAAAAAAGTAACAATGATTGATAAAGAAATTCAATGCAATCTTATAAATTGTTTATCAAATTTTACCAAAAACTACAAAAAAAGAAAAACTTCTGATAATGATATATCTTAAGAAACAACAAAAAAATTAGAATTAGATCAACAAATAAAATCCCATAAAAACTATAATAAAACAAGTAAAGAAAACAAAGATCCGTATATGTTTTCCAGCGATGAAAACACGAAAAGTGATGAATGCCTTAGCGAAGATACGGAGGAAGATTCTAACAAAAATGACATTAATGTAAAAATAAAAAACGTTCCCAAAATAAACATGACTTATAATAAACAAACAAAAGAAATACCAGACACTAAAAGATTCATTAATAACTCCAAAACAAATAATCCTATTTAAGACATAATAATAGATAAATATTCCCACACAATCAAAATCCTTCAATGGAACATCAGAGGAATGAAAAACAATATACCAGAACTACAAACCCTAATTTCTAAACTTAATCCACATATCATTTGTCTCCAAGAAACAAAAAACACTGAAGATAAACAAATAAAATTGAAAAACTACATGGGTTATCATAAAGCAGCTATCTCCACAAAATCAAATCCATCAGCTGGAACATCAATTTACATTCATTACAATATAACACAGTCTCCCGTTAATATAAAAATCGATAATCATTTCATAGCAGCAAGAATAACAATCTACAACAAATCTATAACAATATGCAATGGTTATATACAGCCAAATTCTTTGATTAAATCACAAAACTTAAAACAAATAATAAAACAGATTCCTAAACCATTCATATTCCTTGGAGATTTCAATGCTCACAACAAAATTTGGAATTGCCTAAACTCAAATTCTCAGGGTAAGCAATTGGAAAAAACAATAATAGATCTTTGCCTGATTAAGCCAACACAACCAACAAGATACCATGAAAACACAAACACTTCATCCGCAATTGATCTAGCCATGACAACTCCAACTCTCTTTGAAGATATTGAATGGGATGCAGAACATGACTTACATGGCAGTGATCACTACCCAATAATTATATCCATCAGAAATAAACCCACAAATTCAGATTTGAAAAGACTTAACTACAACAAAACAGATTGGAGTAGTTTTACATTCATGATAGAGGAACAAATGAAAAATTTTGACACAATTGATGATGAGTCAATGAACAGATGGATAGAAATTATATCAAAAGTCATAAAACAAACTACCCCAGTTATTCAAAATAAAAAAGGTAAAGTTTTAAATACTTGGTACAATGAGAAGTGCAAAGATGCAATCAAACAGAAGCAAAATGCATTTAAAAGTTTCAAAAATAATCCCAATCTAGATAACTTTATAAATTATAAAAAGATCAAAGCAGAGGCACGCAGAACAGTAAGAGAAGAAAAAAAAATTCTTGGAACTCATTTATCAATAATCTCAATTCCAACACATCTATAAAAAAAGTTTGGGAAATGATCAGAAAATTAAAAGATAAAAATAATACTAATAAAAATAGCCACATTTCACTCAATGGTAAAGAGTATACAACTGACCAAGAAATATCAAACATCTTGGCTATTAATTTTCAACGAAATTCAAAAAATCTAAACAGTAATTTTGCAACGATCAAGTCAGTAGAAGAAAGTTAAGCTTTAGATTTTAATTCAAATAATTTAGAACCATATAATACCTCAATAACTATGAAAGAAATGATGTATGAAATCAACAATAGCAAAGATTCCTCTTCAGGACCAGATCTAATAACTTACAAGATGCTCAAAAACTTACCACAAAATGCGCTGATGATACTTCTAAGAATTTATAACTATATTTGGCACAATACAAGTTTTCCAAATATATGGCGTCACGCAATAATAATTCCAATAAATAAACCAAACAAATCCAAACTTCAACCTAAAAATTACAGACCGATATCATTAACTTGTTGCACCTGCAAAATAATGGAAAAAATAATTAATACAAGACTAGATTGGTATCTCAAAATTAATAAAATAATATCAAATTCACAGTGTGGAGGAACCAAAGGAAGATCCACATTAGATAACCTACTACTGCTTGAAACATTGGTAAGACAAGCTTTAAACAATAACGAACAAGTCATAACAATATTTTTAGACATAGAGAAAGCCTATGATAGAGCTTGGAACTATGGAATTATGAAAAAGATACATCAAATTGGTTTACGAGGACTCCTCTCTAGATTTATTCAAAATTTCTTGACGGATTGATCCTTTCAGGTAAAATTTAACAATACATTTTCTGAAAAAAAGTATCCAGATCTAGGTATTCCACAAGGAAGCATTTTATCACCAAAACATTTTTGTTTACTTTTAGATAACATAACAAATATAATTCCAAAAAGAGCAATAACTTCACTGTATATGGATGATATAACAATAACATTTAGAAATAAAGATATTAGCAAAATGCAAGGGGAAATAAACACATTTTTGAAAACCTTAGAAAAATGGGCAATAGAAAATGGAATTAAATTTTCAGAAACCAAAACAAAAGCCATCCTTTTTTCAAAAAAACGAAACAAGATCTACCCCAAATTAAAATTTCAAAAAAATTTCATAGATTTCACCCAGCAATATAAATATTTGGGAATCATAATCGATGATAAACTTAATTTCATTCCTCATATTCAAGCGGCAAAAAAAAATGTCTAAAAGCACTCAACCTGATCAAAGTTTTATCCCATCATACTTGGGGAGCAGATCAAATGCCCTTGATGACAATTTACCAGACAAAGATAAGATCAATACTAGACTACGCTAGCCCAGTTTATGGATCAACAAGGAAATCATATCTCAAAATTCTTCAACCAATAATCAACGAGTCATTAAGAAGAGTTTTGGGAGCATATAAAACATCTCCATCTAGCAGTCTACATGTTCTCTCAGGGGAAATGCCCATATCTTATAGACATCAAAAATTAGCATCGAATTACTATCTAAAACTGAAATCGCAACCAGAAAATCCAAATTATAAATATATCGATAAAATATGTCACATTAAATCCAAATCTATTCAAACTTTTCCAACAAGAACAAATGAATACATCAAAGAGCATGAAAAAACAATAATTGTTAAAGAGATGGATTATAAGATTCCTCCCTGGCTGTTGCTACATGCAGATATTGATACCAGTATAGCAAAAATAGAAAAAGACAAAAACTTAGCAAAAATGTTATTTAAAAAAAAAATTCAAGAGAATCCCAATTCAATTGAAATATATACTGAATTACTGATGGCTCAAAAAAAGGAATATCAACTACAGCAGCAGTGGTAGTCTACAGACAACAAAAATGCATAAACAAAATCATGCAACATCTTCCAAACCATGCTTCAATATTCACAGCAGAAATCATTGCCATTCAGATGGCAATAAATTTCATATCTAAATCCAATAGTAAAAATTTCATAATATTCTCAGATTCATTATCAACAGTTACGGCGCTTAAACAATATAGACCTCAACACAACCTTATAATTCAAACGCAAAACAGGATACATGATAACTTAAATGATAACAATGGTAAGAAAATAACTCTGATATGGATACCCAGTCACATAGGAATTCAGGGTAATGAGGAAGTCGATCAACTGGCATTACAAGCTCACAATATTCCAATATCAAATCTTCCCATCCCACACAATGATTTAAGATTTTGGACAAAAAAGGTTTCAATGGAGAAATGGCAACTTGAATCGAACCAAACATCAAACTTTCTTAAATTATCCACACCATCTCTCAGCCAAAAAAATGAATTTAAAGGTTTAAAACGTAAACCTCAGACAATTATCAACAGATTAAAAATAGGCCATTCAAGTTTGACTCATTCCTGGATTCTCAACAAAACAAATTTGCCTACATGCAACTCTTGTAACGAAAAACTAACTATCCATCACATTTTGGTCAAACGTAATAGTCACAATAATTGTAGGAAACGACATGTCATCCCTTCAGAAATAGAACAAATTTTTTCCAGAGATAAAATCAATAATCTAATATCATTCCTTCAGGAAATACAAATTTTTAATAGAATTTAAAAATAATTTCTCAAAAGTTTTAAAACAACAAAACGCATTTATAGAAAAGGAACAAGGGGCGTAAAGATAGCCAGTTGTGCTGAAACGCCGTTAAACTGCACAAACAAACAATTTAATGGTATAGGTTGTTATTATTATAAAAAAAACGCTTTCTAAACGATCTTAAAACTTTAAATCAGATTTTTAATATAGTAATTGAAGTCTGCTTGCTCTTGTTTTATTCACAAGTATTTTTGTGTTTTGGCTTCAGGTGTACAAAAATCCTTTTGACAAAGGTTTTATTAATAATTGGAAAATACTGCTTGGTCTCAATAATAAAAGGTTTTTAAAAATTCATTTAAAAAATTTTGTTATCTTTTATCAATTAAAATAACGGTATTTGCTATTAAAGAGGTGCAATTAATACATTTTATTAACACAGATCTTTCTGGAGACACATACTATTACCTTCGTCACATGAACCGCACGGAGATGGAATACATTGGACTGATGATCTAGACACCTCAGAAGTTGTCTAAAGTCTCACAATTTTTGAATAAAACTGTATCATGAACAAATTTCTTTACTGTTTTTTCGTAAATTGTTTGTGTGATACGTATGTTTATTTGTCAAACTTTTTGTTGAGATATTTAATTTATTTCATTGCTTTACAACTATTTTTTTTAATTCATGTTGATAATTTCAAGGAAATTAAATTTTGTATAGCGTGTAGTTAGATGATTTACCTTTTGAAAACATAAGCTAAAATGATTGATAACGAGAGTGGAGGTGTCAGATGATAAACGTCCGATTCATGCTCCTCAAATATTCTGACTCCGATTAAAAAAAATTTCAATTTTGGCATTAAAATTTTACTTTAATATCACTACTAAATGAAAAATTCTTTGAAAAACAGTTGAGATCTGTCAATGTAAATGCTTTTCTTATTGAAAATTTTTAGATTTTTGTTTCAAAATTTAATGAGAAAAAATTATGTAATCTTCTTCACATTGTTAGCATTAATTTTCAGTATTAAAGATTGCATATCGCTACATAAAAAAAAGTGTTTTCAGAATAAAAAAAAAACTCAAATTCATATCATTTTCCGGAGTCGTTGTCGAACGAAAAATGTCCGACTCCGGTCCATGAAAAAAATTCCAACTCCAACAAAAATCTCCGACCGACTCTGACACTGGTGGTAACATCTCTGACATGCTTCTTCGTTTAAAACAAAAACTGCTCACAACGGCGAGTGACTCATGATCTGCCACTGGGTGCATTCGTTCGTTCGTTTCATCAGGCAGCTTTTAATTAACTCCGTTGATAGAAAATAAAATAATAAACTTTGTTAGGTTTTTTTGTCTAGTTAGGCGTCCCTAGCAAACACGCTAACTATTCAGACAGTTGATTCTACGAACTTCAGTTTTTTTTTGTAGTGGACAAAACTAACTTCAAAATATCTCAGCATTCAACGGTTTATATATGTTTCAGTTTAATATACTAACAATTGCTCAATAAATTGTTATTTTCATGCTAAAATTATCATCAGTTCCGATTGAAAATCATTTTGGCTGAGACAATTGCTTAAGATAATTTAGCGTTGTTTGGGGCAAACAAATCTAACGATATGTATACAATATACTCGCGATAATGATAAGAATTTACCTATATTGGTTACATTTTTCAGATGACTGTGAAAACTTATGACTACTTTGTATGCTTGTCTAAGGACTTCTATGAAAAACGAATTAATTTTAAAACAACTTCTTTCATGGAAAGAGATTGTGAATTGTAAATCAGAACAAAGTTATCAAATTAAATTATCAAATTTCTATTCATTCATTATCTAACTAAATGGAAAATTTTCTCAAAAGTATCATTACTCTGCTCGTTGATAGAAATGCTTTTAATTATAAAAATGTCATCTGAAATTTGTCAGGGTTTTGACAACCAATTTTCATATTGCTGGTTAAATAAAAACAGCAAAGTAAATTTGTGCTGTATCGACAAACCGTATTTAATCGTGACGAATGTGAGATCAATTACCGAGTGTGCATCCGAATACAACCGATACGACGGTGCTAATATTTTACTTAAAGCAAATAAAACATCATCAGTCTTCTACCAAAACTTATCTTTCCAGAAGTTTGGATCCAACCTATTCAACGTCATCAGGTAGTAGAGTAACATGGGGTAAGACGCCCCCTCTAAGGAAAAAGTTCGATTAAATCAAATTTATGCTATAAAACTGAGATTTTTAAACTTCCAGAAAGATCACTCATAGTATTTTATATAAATACATAATTTTAACAAATAAAAAGGACCCAATGAAAAATTTTTGCCATTAAAACTTTTTTGATAAAGGGGCTTCTTACCCCAGCATTGGGGCAAAACGCCTACTGGGAGGCGTTTTACCCCATGTCAATGTCATAGATAGTGTTTAAAAATACATTGGTAAATTTGAATATTCAATCAAATTTATTAAACAAAACTATAAAAACAATGTTAACAAATATTGAAAAAAACTGTTAATGTATTTAAATTGATTATTCAATTATTCAAACGTTTATTAAAACAGAACTGATGCTTAATCTGAATCAGAATTTTCACAATCAATGCATATAAATTGTTCATTATAGTTCTCATCAAGTCCTTGGCATTCATTGTGGTGCCACTGTGAGCATCTTAGAGACTCACAATATTTCAACTGACAAGTATTACATGGTTCACAATCAATTTTTTTCTTTTTTTCTTTACCGCTACCTTTTATCAGTTGTCGTTTTGACATAGTCTTTGAATTTTCCCTTTTTTCGAGTAAATTTTTGTAAGGACTAGATGTCAAAAGGGCAGCTTTTTCTGATTTTCGTTTTCTAATTCTCACGTTGTCAATTTTAATTGGACCCATGATCTTCAACAGTGTCGTTTTAGGATCTTTCTTTGCATGATCAACTTCCTGTGCAGGTTTCACAGATTCAGGTGTTTGTTGAGCTAAAGTGACTGTATTCGGTAAGGGTTCATCTGTTAGCTTTGATGCAAAAAATCTTCTTCAGAAAAAATTTGTTTGTTTAGAGGCCACAAACCAGTGCATTCAAAACCATGCACAGCTTTTTCTGGGGTGGCTGCTTTCAAAAATGCTTTTGAAAATAGTCCAGCTATTTCATAAAAGGTTATCCGTCTTCCTTTGTTACTAAGCATCCATCCATCTGCAGTTGCATTGTATGCAGCTTTCAATCCTTTAAAAAAGGAAACATCAAGAGGCTGCATCTTATGTGTGCAGTGGGGTGGAAATGTTATTAATTCAATTCCATTTTCACGACAAAATGTCACTGCCTCAAGTGTTTTGTGAGAGTGATGTTCATCAAGAAAAATAAGATGCTTGTCTTTTTTTGATGGCTTTACAATAAATGTAAAATGATTCAACCATCTCATAAAACATTCACTGTCTGTCCAACCGCTTGGAGTACAAACTCCAATAGCACCTGGTGGTGCCTCATTCATCAAAGAGTCAACCATACGCTTCAAACCAACAAACAACTGTTAAATTTCATTTTTCAATTTTAAGGATTAAAACAATATCAAATAGTTCTAGTATAAAATTATTCTTTAATTACATTATTTAAAAGGGGACGTTTTACCCATTTTATAGGGGGGCGTTTTACCCCAAAATGTATTGTAAAATTTTAACCGATAATGTGCTACGATGGATTAAAATTTAAATTTAAAAAAAATCGTGTTAAATAGTGTAAATAATACAAAATTTTATCACTTATTTCAACTTTTTGAGAATAACTTCAGTTTTTGAAAAAAAGCTTTAATGATTATGTTTATATTTGTAATAGATAGCCCTAAAATCTTAAACTTTCATTAATTATCAACCAAAACAACGCGCGGCTTCCACAACACAGACCATTTAATTACATAGATAATCTAATATTATGGCAGTTAAAAAAAATTGCAGCGCAATAATTTCGCTCAACATGGACGGGAGGCCTCTTACCCCTAGTAGGCGTTTTACCCCACGTTACCCTACTACTTGCACTTCAACACATCTCGACTGCCAAACATCCCGAGTCGGATTGTGACATCACTAGCCGGATCTTGTTACGGTTTTAATTACCTACAATTTGAGAAGACGAGTAAATGTCATCTGTTCGGCGTCAGGGAAACGTACAATATTTCAAGTAGCAACAACAGCTGCTCTTTCTACCAGGTGTGACGAATGTTTAAATAGGCAATCTGTAGTGAATGTTGAAAAAATGACTTAATTCTTACTTTGCAAACACATTTTGATGGGTGCTTTTATATGTAGCATAAATTTTTAATTTTTTTGAAAAAGGAATTACAGACAAAAATTCAACTCTTAATCAAAATTGTAACCTATAAAAACAATGTTTAATTATTTGGAAAAAATTAATTTTTATTTGAAGACATCTCTTATATAAAATAAAATTTTCTTAAAAAAATTTAAATATTTTGTAAGGAAGTGAGTGACAGATTAAAAAATGTATTGATTTCAGAAAATTGAATCAGTCGACCAGATGTGTGTGAATAAAGGTTGTTAGAAAACATAAAGCATCGAACTTTCAGTTAAATATTAAACCGTCTGTTTAGTATTACATTAATTATTATATACATAATCAGGGGCGTATCTAGACAACTTTGACGGGGAGGGGCCAAGATTTTGAAAAATATTTGACGACAGGGGGTATTGGGGGATTGCTTCCAAAATAAGTCAATGACCGAAGGGAAGAATTTACCTTTCAGCAAAAACTTGGTGACAAGTTAACGAGGAGCCAACTTTTCTGTTCACAAACATATAATGTAAATTTTCTTTTCAAAAACACTACTTTTTTCCTGGGCCCACCCCCAGATCCACCACGGTACATAATGGATATAGTGTTTAAAAGTCATCTACACGTTAAGTAAAAATTGGGTTAATTAATCAATGTAATCGTGTTTGTTAAAAATTAAAACATCAATTCAATTATAAATTTTAATCGATGAACTATATTTGTCAAGTTCAAGTTATTTATACCTTCGTTCAAGTGTGTAATTTTGGTTTGTGGCAATGCTTCCAATTGAACATTTTATCTTAGATTGTTTAAATATTGAGGAAAATCAAAAATGAAATGTTGCAATAGCGATAAGGATTTTCGAAGTTGTATCGGAGTGCCAAGAAGTTAATTGGTTGATTCTATTTTTTTCCAAAATTTCATCAATTTCTTTTCTTGTTATTTTCAAATAGTCGTTAGTTTGTAAGCTCATTTGTTAATTTTGTTGTTCATTAGGCTAATCATAAAATGTTTTTTTTATATAGTCTGGCCAATTTATTTAGTTTTAATGTATTTTCTTAAAAATGCATACAGTGGTTCAATGCTTTGCCTGGTTTATGTTTTATTATCTATTCGTAGACAGGTTTTTGTTTTTCGTGTTCAATAATCTTTTACTAACTGAATGGCTATTTTTTCTGTCTTGAACAAAGGATGAGGCATTTTTATAAAACATTAATGCTATTTGGCTCGCGAAATTTGTGCTTCCGTATGCTTCACAAAAATTGTTTTTACAATGGAATGTTGCTTCCAAGTGAATGAGATGATTATTATTGCTTTGGAAAAATAAATGTGAAAACCAGTGAATACTTTTGAAAAAGCTTTTGTGATAACTTGCTGTTTTTCATGATTTGTGAATAAATATAACAATTAAACAGGAAATGCTTCACCGTTACCAGCGCTCCAAAAATAACAAAAAATATTATTTTGGTTTTAAATACCACCATCATTACAACATCATCACGACAGCCATTTTCAGAAACGCCATTGTCATCCTTTAATTTTTTTACCCTTTAGTGCCCAGGGACTGCGATGACATAGCTGGGCCGACCAACAGCACTGATAACGGGGTGTACTGGATTCTTCAAAATAGGGAAGTCTATCCGGTCTACTGCAACTTTGAAGATACTGCCCAGTGAACAATGAAAGATGGGACCTATATAGGTCACAGGCGGGCTGACATATAGGCCCTATGTGGGCTGCCCACGTGGGACCGGTAACAAAATGACCGTCCAATTCGCGTGGGACCCATGTGGGAAAATAAGAGAATGTAAACGAGCTTTACATGGGCTAAATAAGAAAATGTAAACGGGCTTTACGTGGGCTAAATGGGCTTAAAAGTATGCACACACACGCACACATGTTGCATTTTTTGAAGTATATTTTATTTTGATAAAACTTCCACAACAAAAAATACTAAATGTTCAAAAAAATAATTAAATGAGAAAGTCAGGTTATAAATACTAAAAATAAAATGTTATAGTATAAAAAATTTCATTTATGCACAATTATCATTTTCATCTTCTTCATCTGATGCCTCATCTGAAAAATTTCCTTCATTTGTTCTTACAGATGAATTTGATTTGTTCAACCGAAATGCCTTTTTACCATCTGTCTTGAGCACCAGTCAACCATTTTGCCACTGCTAACTCCACATCTCTTTTCATGACCTCTCCAATTGAAGCATTTTTTGACTGATCCTGTTATATGAATAAAAAAATTATTTTACAAAAATTATTAACATAAATTTATTCCGAAAAGATGTAAGGCTGAGTTGGCCAGGAGTCAGCTATCCGAGATGAACCTGCAGTAGCTACGATAAACATGGAGTACTCCATATGTTTATTGTAGCTACTGCAGGTTCATCTGCAGGTTCATGTTCTCAAAAGCTGATCAGCCTTGGAGAAATGTGGGGATTACAATGGCTGGAACCGGGCAAGACAAAAAAATAACTTTAATAAAAAAAGATTAATGAATACTAAGGAAAAAAATATTAAAATTGAACTAAAACGAATTGAAGAAAATGGTTTTTAAATTATACTTACTGTATACAATCTCGAATAATTTTGAACTTCCAAATGGCATTTTCCCTTTTTTCCCAACCATGTTGAATCCAAAGACTACATCATTTTTCATTATGTGAGACATCACTCTTCTTATTACTTCATCCAAACTCAGAAAAAATTTTCAATAATGCATTTTGTGCTCTTTGGCTAATTTTATATTGTACAGCCCATGTAGCTAGATGCCCTTTGAAAGTTCTTAGGTTGCTAGATGATGACGTGCTGGTTGATAAGCTTGAAATTTCTGTATTATTAGAACTTTCACTATATTATACATAAAGAAACTGGAGCTTTCATCATTAGCATTATCAGAATCTTGGAATTTTAATATTTTTGATGGCAGACTAAAAGATTCTTCTAGCTGATAGTTGTACCTTTCATAATTTTCATTAGCATCAATATTATTGATGTTCCTAGTAGTGCAATCTTGCTCATTATTTTGATCAACTAATTATGCTACATTTGTTTCTTTGTTTCTTCCATAGGAATTTTATTAAAAAAATCTTTCACCTTCCTCTTAATGTGTCTTGTCTAGATAAAGTACGCTTGTTATAATCATTCAAAGAATCCATTTTTAATTTATTCATTTGTCTAAGTTATGATACTATAAAATAAAATAAATTAAAATATTATTTATACAATAAATTAAAATATTAACAAAGTTAAAGCTATGTTATAATCATTCAAAGAATCCATTTTATTTATTCTTTTGTCTAAGTTATGATACTATAAAATAAATTAAAATATTATACAATAAATTAAAATATTAACAAAGTTAAGTTAAAGTTAATAATACAACAAAGAACAAACCAAAGGGGCATTCAGATCACAAAAAAATTATTTAATTTATTAAATCATTACCTTTCTATCAGTATTCAGCACGCCAAGGCAGTTGAAAACAATTGAATAAAATAACTGATAAATTATATAATTATAATTTATTAATTTCTTAATACTGATATATCAACTTTAACGCGATGAAAAGGAACGAAGGAACACGATCAAAATTTCTGAGTAAACATATTGAAAAGTAAACATAAAGCGTGGCAAAATAAAGCGATGTCCTAGAATTTAAAAGAAATAAAACAACAGTCATAAAAATAGACCCAATTAAGTTGATAAAAACATAAGTTTAAAACATTTCATAGTATACCATAACATATAAAAAACATTTAGCTTTGAATCATCACATATTTTAATTTTTGACTACTAGCCCAGATAGCCCATAAGGGACCCATGGTTGTCCAATATAATTTTTAGAAACCTTGTCCATTCTATTAATTATTGAAAAAAGCATTATATTTAGAATTTTTATTCAAAATGTTCATTAAATACTACAATGGAATAATAAAATGTCACAAAATTTAGAATTTTATATAGTTGCAAAAGCTTACACAACCCTTATTGAGCCTTTGTGGAGCCAATATAGGCTTTCCTATACACATGAACCCCGCATTGGGCCCACAAAACACCCATGTGGGTAATCATTATTGAAAAAAGCATTATATTTAAAATTTTTATTCAAAATGTTCATTAAATATTACAATGGAATAATAAAATGTCACAAAATTTTGAATTTTATATAGTTGCAAAAGCCTACACAACC